TCTCTTCCTCCCCCTGACTTGTGCATGTATGGGCATGTGTGAGTTCTGTTGTGTGTGAGTGGCAATTCAATTGTCAAACAACCAAGTTCATAACAGTTGGTATCGGAGCGGAGATGGGACTTGGAGCTCAGAGGGTTGAGCGTAACAGGGTTAACTTCTCTTTCTGGCCCTGACTGGCGAGAAGTGCCATGGTGATTCTTCTTCTTCAGTGAAGATCCAGTGGAAGAGAAGACAGACAAGCGGTGATTTCAGGGCATCAATTTGCGATTGATCAGGCACCCTGAGCCTGTCTGAGTGCCTGACAGGAAGTGGCGAGAATAGGGTCATTCCGCCATCCACCCTCCTGACCACAGTTGATGACTGGGTCTAGGGTGGCGAAATTTACCCTAATCCAGTGATTACTGGGTGGCGGCTTCATTCACAGTGTAGCGCTGAAGGAGGATGGATCGCAGGATCACCTCCTGCTAAATTAACCCTACTCAGGGCTAAATTTAGCACCAACGGCACATACCCTGCAGTGGCGAGATATCTTCAGGAGAGTTTTCTCTCGCCATTGGGGCAGATTCAGTGTATCTGAGAGTTGGGGGTGAATCGCCTCATCATACTGGACATGATCAACAAGTTTCAGGAGATTCTGTACGTGGGAAGCTCTGGAAGATTATCTGCAAGTACTGGCAAGACCAGGGTTTGGCAGCCATAGCCAAAGCTTCATCATCCACTGAGGGCTGTACTTCAAGTGAGTTCGTTCCACACGAATCCCTGAGCAGCGATTAGTATAGGATTAGTAAAGATAGGATTGATGGTCTGTCTGACAGTATTGTAACAATCGTGAAATCGCCAGACTGCAGGACAACCATATCCATCTTCTTCCTCCCTACCCTGACTCATATCTCTGCATCTATTGACCTGTTCTGACTCAAAATTGTTCTGGAGTAGTATTGCGCTGCATCCTGTATGTTCATTCTGTGAATTCTGTACTGAAAAGATAGTGATACTGTAGATCTGAGTTTTGTGCTGAGCCTATTTATAGTCTAGGCTACCTAGGGTCAGTCACAACTCAAATATGACCGTCAGAATTCAAGTTTGTCAGTCTGGGGTGAAACGCAATTCTATTTTTAGCAACCCTGCTAAAGCGCTAGTCCAGAAACACTGTATTTGGGTCATTACAGTGCATTCCTGAAATTCGCCATATCTGGGGAAATTTCTGTTGATGTCAACACTGGCAAAATTTGAGTCTGGGGTTGTCAGGGGGTAGTCTACTAAATCGCTACTACCTGTTGCTGTGTTTCAGCTGATTCTTGCCTGTTTCCCTCAATACTACTAATTTGTTCTGCTTTCTGATGGGCTCTGGAATACTAGTGACCCCTGGAATATTGTAAGTGTGCAAAGTGCAACTTCAGGGAAAGTCCAGGGTCAGGTATAGGAAATCGTAAGTGCATGATTTTACTAGACATCCTGTCAGCCTGACTACTGACTCCAGTGGTCTCATTCCAACCCTAACTGCTTGTGCCCACTAACCCACATTGCTCTGTGAACTGACAGTGCAGCGAAATTTGAGTGTCTGTGTGAGCTGTAAATCGCTGCACCCCCCCACTGTTTCATTTTTGTTTTATTGTTGTTTGGTGAGGGAAAATGTCTGCCGCCTCTGACACAGGTGCAAGGAACGTGGAAGTGGTGGTTAAGGCTGAAGAACAGCCTTCAGCCTCAACTCCTCCTCCCCCTCCCCTAACCCCTGCGCAGCGACGCAAGAGAGAGATTCAGGAAAAACTGCGAGAGCAATAGGCGCTGCTCGCAGAAGCAGAGAGGCAAGAGGCTGCAGAGCTAGAAGCTGCAACAGATGCTTCCAGAAAAGAGCACCTGCTGCAGCAGGCTCAGAAGACTTTTGCGGATGCTAGAGTGGCCCAGTGTACCAGGGACCTGGCTGAGCTGGTATTGTTACAAGAAAAACTTGCAGCCATCCATTTCACAAACTGGGACGAAAGGATCCAGAGGCTGGAGACCAGAGTGTCTGATCTGGGAACTCAGCAGTCTAAGATCCTGGATGCCATCTAGAATCTGACTGCTCAGTTAACAGAAGCCAACCTGATCTCTCCTTTGGTCCCTGTGGGCCCCTCTCCTAAACCCCCAAAGCCTTCTCAACCTTCCTCTTCACCTCCTTCCTCTCCTCACTCTTCTCGTAAGTCTTCTCCATCTGTCTCCTCCCAGGCCAAAGCCACACCTCCTCCCACCTTTGCTGCTGTTGTTGCTGGGGACCACAGAGGTCCCAAGATTCTTGCCCCCAGCAAATTCAAGGGGGATGACCCCAAGATTGATGTGGGGGACTGGACCGCTGGAACCTGGGCCTATCTGAAGGGGTTCCAGTGTCCAGAGCAACAAATGGTGGCCACTGTTGTGGGCCTGCTGGAGGGGCCTGCCCAGAAATGGGCTACCTCTACAGCAAGTGCCCAGAGCCAGTCTTTGGAGGATTGGGCATTGGCATTGGGGGCTGACAAACTTCTGCAGGCCCTGGAGGACAGGTTTGCAGACAAGGAACGTGCCCGTAAGGCTGCTGACAAGATCGTACGCCTTGGACAGCAGCGTTACAGCGGCAGTCTGCAGGCCCTTTTCGCTGAATTTGAGCAGCTCACCTCCACCCCTGGATTGGTTATGTCTGCTGATGATCTGCTGACTAGCTTTTGCAGGGCTGCGCCTGAGAAGTTCTCAGTCGCTTTGTATAGCGCCGGGCACAAAGACTGGCGCTCATTTGGACGTGCAGCACTGGACATGGAGGCCAAGCTCCATGTTCAGGCCCCCTCCAGTGACAAGAGGAAAGGCGCCTTCCCTCGCGGTGGTAGAAAGGGAAAGGCGGCCTTTGCTTATGCGGGTTCTGGATCATCATCTGATCCCGGCCTGGTACACCGCCAGGTGGGACTGCAGCAGCTGCTGTTCCAGATGTTGCAGTAGTTGTCCAGCAGCTGCAGGCTGCGCTGGGGGCCTTTCAAAAGGCCGGGTCTCCCTCCAGCACACCCTCCAACAGCAAGGGGAAGAGCCAGGGACGTCGCTCTTCAACCCCTGCCCAACGCCCTAATTTGCCACGTGACATCCGCTTTCCTGCAGACCCCCTCAACCCCAATACACTTCCCTGGCATGATTTAAAGATACAGGAAGGGGTGTGGAGGAAGAGGAAGGAAAAGGGGGTCTGCCTGAGGTGTGAGGGGCAGCACTTTTTAAAGGACTGTCCCTACATGCCAAGCCCAGCTCAGTAAAAAAACTGAAGCTGAACCTGGAGACGACAGTTCCCTCCAGTGCTGCAACTGCATCTGCAGCTGCAGCAGCTTCAGTTGAGACTTCTTCCTTCCCATCCGGAGTGGGAGCTGCACGGGCAGCATCCTTCACATATGAGGATCCTGACCCGGATCAGGAACCGGACCAGTCTGAGTGTCAGGCTCTTGCTGCTTTTTTCTTTCATTTGAAAGAACAAAAGCCGAACAAGTCTGATCTCATCCTGCTTCGGCCCCTGATCAACCATCGCAGGATCAAAGGGCTATTAGACTATGGAGCTACTCGCAACTTCATGTCTCCCGATGTAGTCCAAAAAATGCATCTGGGCATGAAAGTGGTGCAGCTGCAGCAACCGCTGCAGGTCCGCATAGGGGACTCCACTGTTCTGACCATCAGGGAGAAGGTCAGGGGTATCCCTGTTACCTTCGATAGTGCTGGAGAAGTCAGACATAGTCTGAACTTCTACATCTTCCCTGACCTACCCTTTGACCTTGTGTTTTTTGACATAGTCTGAACTTCTACATCTTCCCTGACCTACCCTTTGACCTTGTGTTCTCTATGCAGTGGCTGAGAGCAGTCAACCCAAGGGTCGACTGGCAGATCCCCAAGGTTGAACTGCCAAACAGCAAAGGGGTATATCAGCCTTGTATGCTTGCAGCTGATTACCACCCTCAGACCTCTTGCTTCTGCTTGAGAGCGAGAGAGTTTTATGCTCTCTCTCGCCAGGATGATCATGAGCGTCTGTTCATCGCTCTGGTCAAGCAGACAGACGCTCCCTCTACTCCCTGTCCTCCTGAGATACAGCAGGTTGTAGACCAGTACGCTGATCTGATGCAGGAGCCCTTTGGGTTACCCAACCGGCCAACCAAGCATCATATTGAGCTGCTGCCTGGAGCGGTCCCTCCCAAGGGCCGCAACTACAGGATGTCACCTGGTGAGCTCGAGGAGCTCAGGTGACAACTTGAGACCCTGATTAGCAAGGGCTGGATCAGGCCCAACACTTCTGAATTCGGTGCTCCAGTCCTCTTTGTTCCAAAGGGGAGTGAGGAATTCAGAATGTGCATCGACTACAGGGGTCTCAACAAGATCACTAGGAAGAGCACAGAGCCACTCCCTAGGATCGATGACCTTTTGGATATGGTCCAGGGTTGCACCATTTTCAGCAAAGTCGACCTCAAGTCTGGGTATCACGAAATTGAGATGGCATAGGAGGACATCCACAAGACGGCCTTCAAAACCAGGTATGGTACTTATGAGTACCTGGTGATGCCATTTGGACTCTGCAATGCACCTGGTACATTCCAGACTGAGATGCACCGCATATTCAGGCCGTACCTGGATAAGTTTTATGGTTGTCTACCTGGATGATATCCTGGTATTCAGCAAAACTACCAGGGAACATGCGGAGCACCTGACTCTAGTCCTTCAGTCGTTACGTGACAGCCAGTGCAAGGTCAATAGGGAGAAATACTCTTTTGGAGTTCCCTCTGTTATCTACCTGGGTCATGTAATCTCTGGAGATGGTTTGGCCCCTGAAGCAGCCAAGGTTGCTGCTATTCAGGATTGGCCACAGCCTCAGACAGTGAGAGATGTCCGGTCATTCTTGGGTCTGGCCTCCTACTACAGAAAGTTCGTCAGGAACTTTTCTGCTGTGGCTGCACCCCTGACTAACCTCACAAAGAAAGACACTCCCTTTCTTTGGTCTCTTCACTGTCAGATGGCCTTTGCACGACTCAAACAGGCCTTGACTCGTGCACTTGTTCTGAAGTTGCATGACCCCACTCTGCCATTTGTTCTCACCACTGGCGCCAGTCAGTATGGCATTGGGGCAGTCCTTCAGCAGGATGATGGTAATGGTCTGAGACCTGTAGAGTTCATGAGTAAGAAGATTAAGACTCACAAGTTGCAGGACTCTGCCTACGAGAAAGAGCTTTATGCTCTTGTCAGTGCCCTGAAACATTGGAAGCACTTTCTCCTCGGCAGGCACTTCAAGATCTTTTCTGATCATTCCACCCTGCAGTGGTTGAAGTCCCAGGGAGAGTTGAATGATAAACTGGCACGCTACATCCAGTTCATTGATCTGTTTGACTTTGAACTGAAGCATAAGAAGGGCTGCTACAACAAGGTAGCAGACGCCCTCTCTCGTAGGCCTGACTCCTTTGCGTTGATCTCCTCTACTCACTCCTTTGGAGAGGACGTCTGTCAGACCATCGCTCGTTTGCTGCCTCAGGATCCGACTTATGGACCCATCGTCAGGAATCTGCGAGCAGATCCTAATTCTGAACCTAGCTATGCCCTGAGTTCAGATCTGCTGTATACTTACAGCAGAGGAGAGGAGCGCTTGTGCATCCCTGAGGATCAGCAGCTGAGGACACTGCTGATGTCAGAGTGCCACGACGCGTGTGGACACTTTGGGTTCCTAAAGTCATATGCAGCCCTGTCGCAACGCTTCTTCTGGAAGGAGATGCGGAGTGATATGCTGCGCTATGTGGACACCTGTGAGCTCTGCCAAAGGAACAAGGTTCAACGTAAACCTCCTTTGGGATTTTGCTCAAACCTTTGCCCATACCTGATGGTCGTGCCCAGTCAGTGTCTATTGATTTCACAGACTTAGGCAAGACTACCCCTCGTGGCATGTGTCAGGTCATGGTCTGCGTGGACAGGTTCTCCAAATACGTAAAGTTCATCCCCTTGCCAGAGGTAGCCAGGGTACCGGCTGTGAGAGCAACCTTTTCTGAGAGGTGGGTCACACACCATGGACCGCCCACCTCTATTGTGAATGATCGAGACCCCAGATTCTGCAGCGATGAGTGACAGTCCTACTGCGAGGACTATTTGCACTCATGCCTGGACATGACTTCTGGTCGTCATCCTGAAGCCAATGGATTGGCTGAAGTGATGAACCAAGTCCTTTTCCAGTTGCTACGTCCTGTGATCTCCCCTGATCAGCAGGACTGGGATCTCCACTTGGCGAGGGCACAACTTATGTATAACATGTCTGTCCACTCCTCGACAGGGTTCAGTCCCTACCGGTTATATTGGGGACGTGAGCCACGACAGCCTCTCGATGATATCATCGACAAGGCTAAGCCTGACCTTACCCCAGGCACTGCTGAGTTCGCCAGACGCTATCGTCTGGACGTGGAAAGAGCCCGGGTGAACTTGTTCAAGGCCCAAAAGGCCATGATTGAACAAGCTACCGCCACAGGCGGCCTTCCCCCATCCGTACTGGTGACTATGTTTGGGTGGCCAGTTCTGAGTTGTCGAGGGAGGAGGATATTTCTCCCAAGCTGTTGCCACGCTACCTGGGTCCGTGGCAGGTTCTAGATACAGTGGGCGCTGATCCTTTTGGCCCATCGTACGTCATTGACGTGCCCCTGCATCTACGAACCTATCCGGTCTTCCATGCATCTAAGCTGCTGCCTTTCATACCAGCTGATGCATTCCCAGACCGGCCCCCTCAATGGGGCCCACCAATCCCTGGTAAGGGATATGATGTGGTGGCCATYGAKGRCGAGTGGGGCACTGGCCCCGACCGRCAGTATCTTGTCAGGTTTGCGTTCCAGCCTCCTTCTGAGAACCGGTGGTTCTAYAGAAGAGACCTGATCAAGACAGCAAAGTCTGTAGTTCTGCGGTATGAGGCGTCTCAGAAGGGTGACCTTCGCCGCTCACCTCGTCTGCACCCCTAGCTCGGAGGTCCTCGCTCCCGGGGAGGGTAAGCCCCTGCAATGATTTGCTGATTTCTGCTGCCGAGTTTGTCTGCAAGGCTGTACACTAACAGTAGGGTTAGATTCGCAATTTTGTTTGGCTGAGGGCTAACTGAGTGACTTGCCTGTTGGGAAATTCGTGAGGGACAGACCTGTAATTCTGAGGGACTACAGGCCCTAAACTAACCGAATCCCTACTACTACCCTAACTGCCTATAGCAGGCCCGGGCTACCCTAGGACAGACAGGCCCTAAGCGGCCTATACTGGTATACGGTCCTATAGCCTATAGCCGGG